AATTATCGGCAACATTATGAAGACGAATGTTTCGGCCTGCTCCTCAATCGGTCCCTACTTCTACCCCCAGATCGGCCGTATTTTCCATGATATGCTGCAAATGTATCAAGCAACCAGCCAGCTCATTTCGGAGGCTGTCCAGAACCAGGGTAGGTATGGCTCTACGAGGCTCGTTAACTTGGCTGACAACTTCTTTAGGTGAGATCGCCACGAAGATGCCCAATGTCCGGGGTCTGCGTACGATCAAGAAGGAGATTCTCAAGCTCATTGAGACCTATGTGGAGAAGGCCGAGGATCTCAATGCTGTTCGTCAACAGATGGTGCCTCCCCTGCTTGAGTCCATTCTCACCGACTACAACCGCAACGTGGCCGGTGCTCGCGATGCTGAGGTCCTCAAGGCTATCTCGGCCATCATCACCAAACTCTCCGTAAGTTGCACACAGTCGTACGCCCCTGGCGGGTATCAGAACTAACAACTTTACCGTAGAGCCTCATGGAGGACCAGGTTCCCAACATTATGGAGAACGTCTTTGAGTGCACCCTAGAGATGATCAACAAGGATTTCTCCGAGTTTCCGGAGCACCGTGTGGAGTTTTTCAACCTCCTCCGGGCGATCAACTTGCATTGTTTCCCTGGTATGCTATGTCCTTAACCCCCCCCCCTCCCCCAACCGCAAACTCTGTTTGAGAAGGAACTGGACACTAATTCCAAAAACAGCGCTGTTGAAGTTGGACAACCGACAGTTCAAATTCGTCATCGACTCGTGCTCTTGGGCTTTCAAGCACGACAACCGTGACGTCGAGGCTGCTGGTCTCAATATGTGCCTTGAGCTTATCAACAACATTGCCGAAACTGACGTGCAGACGTCGAACGCATTCTTCCAGCAATTCTTCATCACGATTCTTCAGGATGTGTTCTTCGTTCTCACCGATACCGACCACAAGGCTGGCTTCAAGACACAGTCGATGATTCTGATGAGGATGTTCTACTTCGTGCACCCCGCCGATGGTACTTCCCCCAAGATCCAGGGCCCCATCTACCCGCCTGATCAGGCTCCTGGCGGCACGCCGAACAAGGAGTTCCTGGCCAACTTTGTTGCTCAGCTCCTCAAGGGAGCTTTCCCCAACCTCCAGCCGTACGTTGACCGATGCCTCTCGTTCTTGTTGAAATTATGCTCACAGTTGCCATGTAGTGCACAGATTGAAAGCTTCGTTGAGGGTCTGTTCAACCTCAACACGACATACGACAAGTTCCGTCTTAACCTGCGTGACTTCCTCGTATCCCTCAAGGAGTTCGCTGGCGACAATGCCGAGCTGTTCCTCATTGAGAAGGAGCAGCAGGAGAAGGACGCTAAGGCAGCCGACTTTGAGCGTCGTGGCAAGGTCGGCGGTCTGCTGAAGCCTTCGGAGCTCGAGGACGACGAGCTGTGACACACTGAAGAACTCAGAACAGAGTACGCGCCGAAGCGCGACTCGGATGCAACGACCGGCTTGTTGTCGTCAGGCTCGCAGGCGCACGGCCAAGCGTTTGATGAGTGGGAACTCTACGGACTTTGACTATAGCAAGCCGCCAACGATTTTCATGATTTCATACCGTGTCTTGCTTATACCCCGTCCCAACTACCTTGGCTCCCCCCCAGTCACCCGTACTGGGGGTGGTCGCCGGGGTATGCATCACTGCAGGATAGACACGCCTCCACCGGCCATTGGTGCAGATACGACTTGGGACGCAAACATTTTCTTTGGTTCCATCCTTCCGCGGAGAGAAGCTAGGGGCGGTTTTGTCAAGAGGACAGTTATCCTGTGGGAAGCGGTGGGAGGGAGGGCTGTAGTCAACGCCATGCGGCGAAATGGACATTCGAAACATACGAGACAATGAAAAAAGGGGACCGGTAGTCGAGCGACGCGAGTCTATACGCGTGGAGACACGCACAACATTAGCATGCGCAGAGCTAGCTCTATAGTGAGTAAGAGGCATCGATCAGTATGGCCAATAGAGATGACATGCAATGAGTGCCAGCCGTCTACTGACTGTACCTGGTGAGGTGCATGGATTTCTGTGCAATGGTTGAAGTGGTGAAATCTTTGGAGCTACTTACGTTATGGACCGTCATGGCTGGCTGTCTTCTGTCTGTCACTTTGTGAATTATCTTGGTCACGAGCGTTTCTGTGCCTGCCATGTTGTATCTACGAGACAATCTTCATTTCATCCCATGATAGGGGCTAATATATGATCTTGTGACGTTCTCGCCTCGGCCAAGAGTTCGATTCGCGGCGTACAATGGGTTCCATGATTCAGCCAGATGTCATGTTCTTTTCATGAGATATGACCCCGACTCCGATGCTTGTCCACGCGTGCCATGGCGGGCTATTTGAGGATACGGAAAAGTCAGGAGCACTCGAAGCGCACGAGGCTCGGGGTGAAATGTTTGCTATCCCTAAGGAGGGTTCACCTTACAACGACGGGAACGGAAAGCTGATGAAGAACCACGTGGAAGCAGATGGTTCAATACCCTGTTGAAGTATGATATCAACAGCAAGAAACTACTGCGGCTAGGGTGCTCTCAAAGGAATCTAGGACCAGAACTCTTGGCTCTCGATGCGCTTTTCTCCACGTTAGTTCATATGCTGACCACTAGAGCCAATGCATGAGCTCAAGGCAGTCTGTCCCCAAAATCCGTGACCGATAGTAGACAAATCGACAATGCGTAGTCAAGTCCAGCTCCTCGCGGATCCCTCGAGGCCGTCCGATTGTCTACGAATAAGCACTCCGATGCCGGCCTCTCTCTCTGCTTCCGTCCGCCACGGGACGCCTCGCAACTTCGCCCAAAGGCCTGCAGCACGATAACACATATATTTCTCTTGACCGGCCGGGCAGCCGCATTGGCGCTGCTGCGCTGCAGGCCGTTGGTACGACTCGGTGGGATGGGTGGTGCGACATGCCTGGCTCGATGTCACGAGGGCATCATCGTAGTCACGCTGGGATATGACCTCATGAGGCAAAGGCAGCCTCGAGCGGGATTCATTGTCTGAGATGGTAGTTCTGGCTCGTGGTATTGAGATTCTGCAGACAATACGGAAAGAAAAAGTTGGTGCATAAGCTCAACACCAAGTGGATGTATAAAGTAGCAAACCAGCT